TTGTCTGCAATTTCACTGTCATTTCACTGTTGGAGCTCTCTCTCCCCAAATCATCAACTGTTGCCTGTGAGGCAGAGGCCTAGAGTGACAGGCTCTGATCACCCACAGATTTCTGACCACTCAAGCATTTAGGCTGTCTTCAACTGCTTTCCCAGGCCATCAGCAGAGAGCTGTATCAGAAGAGGAACAGCTGGGACATGAATGAGCACCCATATGGAATGCTGGCACAGCAGGCAGAGGCTTAGCCCAATACACCACAGTGCTGGCCCCTGCATAAAGTTTTTGAAGTGCCCTCATATGTTTGCTACTTAGGAGAAAATGAAATGTGTTTTTATATTACAAATCAAGTGCTCTTTTTTTTCCTTATCAACTGAGAGATTATGGTGTATGACGCATTTTTTTATTTTTTTACAGATTTATTTATTTACTTGAAGGGCAAAGTTAGAGAGACAGAAAGAGAGACAGAGAGAGAGGGGTCTTCCATCCACTTATTCACTCCCCAAACAGCTGCAAAGGCCGGAGCTGGGGCAGTCAGAAGCCAGGACCCAGGAGCTTCATCCAGGTCTCCCATGTGGGTGGCAGGGGTCCAAGAACTTGGGCCATCTTTTGCTGCTTTCCCAGATACATTAGCAAGGAAATCAATTGGAGGTTGAGCAGCCAGGACTCAAACCGGTGCCCATGTGGGATGCTGACGCTACAGGAGGTGCTGCTACACCACAGCACAGACTCTGCTACACTTTGAAATAATAGAAACAAGAACTCTAGTATGCCTTGGTTTTTACTTTTAAATAACTAGTTTTTAAACATGCATTACAACGTATCTACAGAAAGCAAAAGAACAGATTTCTCAATCACAGTTAATTGGAAGAGCTTTCCCTTTTACCGCCTTGGCAGCAGGGAGTGAAGAAGAACCTACCTGTTTCTCTGGAGAAAGTCAAGGCTCTGAAGCTTCTTCCTGTACCCCTTCCAACTTAGAGAACCAAGGACAGCTTCGTCTGCTTGTGCTGGTGTAATAAAATGCCTGAGGGTGGGTGATTCACAAAAAATAGAAATTCACTCCTTACAGTGCTGGAGCATGGTGAGCACCGGTGAGGGCAGCGCAGGTTTGGTGTGTCCAGTGAGGGCTGCCATGGGTTTGAAGGACAATGCCTCACTGCTGTGCCCTCAGGCGGGGGGGGGAGGCAGCACCTACTCCCTCCACCCCTGAGGTCCATCATCTGTGAGGGCCTCACTGTCAGGATTTAACCACACCCTAAGGGCCCACCTCTTCACACTACAACATCAGCAATTAACTTCCAACATGGTAAGCATGAGAGGAACTTGTGTGTGGGGGGTGCACATTCAGAACAGAGCAGGGGCCTTTGGTTTTCTGCCAGGAACAAGGGACCAATAAGACAGAAAGGAGATGAATGATCTCCCTGCACTTCTCAGAATTATCTTGAAAAATAGTCATTTTCTTTAGATGCTTCAAGAAGAACTAACTTGGTATCACTCATTGTTCTACACACTTGAGGATTAGAGGTAATCAAGAAAAATGTTCTGGAATTGAAAGAAGAAATCTGCAAAGTTGCATTGAATAAAAAATAAAGGAACAATAAGTGACACATTTCACAACAGAAATATTTACTCTTCTATAGAATGTAATCATTCCCTGATCGACTCATACCCTTCTTGTGTTTCCAATTTAATGCCAATATGTTTTTGAACTCCTTCCCCATGTGTTCTGGATTCTTATCCCACCTGTCTTTTAAGTTTTATCTTTAAAATTCATATTCATTCATTTTTATGCTTCCCCCCGAATTTGGAATAATTACTCAAGCTTGCAGAATCAGCCAGCTGACTACCAAACATTGGATTAAGAAACAATCCTGACATTTCAGTGCTTCTAATCAGAAAGGATTCTATTTCCCTTGTGCTATGTGGGCATCAGCTGCCCCAGGTTACTTGTAGATAGGCCCTGGGCTGAATGAGCAGCCCCATATGGTTTTCCGTGACTGTCTTCAGAGAGAAGCAAAGAGAAGAGAGTGGGGCCCAACAGCTGGTCAAAATCCTGGTTCAGCGTCATACTCGTTAAGTCCACTCACTCATTTTTTGCTGACCAAAGTACATCAAGTGCCTGTCTGTGACAGAGAGGCATTCGTCAGACAGGCAAAGTATTATCAAGTTACATAAGTAATCTGCAGAGGGCCCATGGGGAGAGGAATGAGGATATTTGGCATAGGAGTAACAAAACATTAGGCTAGATATGCAGTTCTATCCTTTGTGTTTTGTTTCTTGTTTGTTTGGTTTGGTTATGTAATACTCACTACTTCTGCTGAAATTTTAATTTAATTTAAGTGATCATTGTTTTATCTGTGGGATTTTTATTGTTGTTCTCAAATGTTTTTAATGGTAGTCTGATCTTTACAATTTACTGATGTATTTTTTTTTCAATTTCTGTTTTCTTGAGTTCACTTTTCTCATTGTTTATATTGTTCTCTGGACAAATGAATTGTCAAAAATCTTGTGGTACTAAGAGACACATGTGAGAACATTTATGTCATGGTTTAATGCATTTGCTCTGTAGTCCATGTTCAATTGTGTGAGGTAGGGTAGAATCTTTCCTCTAAACTCCTAGAGGGCTTTCCTTCCTACTCACTAACCCTTCCCTACTGTCACATGCTCCCTTGATCACTGAATTTCTTACATATTTTGTGCTTTATTGACTGTGTGCATTTATCCCTGCTACAGGAGTAGGGTCTTTTCAGTAGGACACTGGAAGAAGGATAAAAACATGAGCTTTGTTTGGTCTCATGATCATTTTAGAGAGTTAATGAAATGGGTATTTAATCCAAGAAGCTAAGACGTAATTCTTAAACCAAAGCAAACTGAGAACAACAGTATAACTGATATGTAGAGTACTTTTTCTTTTACAAAGCCAATAAAATGTATAAAATCAAGCAAGTTTGATACAGGAAAAATGAAAATATACACTTCTGGAACAATAAAGTAAATATATTTTCAGATATAGGGGAAAATTTAATTTAATATTTAAAATATTTAATAACATTGCAAAGACTGAAGGCATTTCAACTTGTTTTACTAGACAAGCCCAACCCTGATAATAAAATTTGACAAACAGAGCACTAAGAAATAATCTATGTACCAATCTTTCCACTAAAAATAAAGGATACATAAAATGATTAAAATCAGAGGCTTAGAAAGTAATTGGAACTACTTTAAAATTCTTGCTCTATTGCAAAGAAATATTTTATGACTTAGACACTTGTGGGGAGCAACTCGGACTAGACTAAGTTACTGGAATTAAGACTTATTCTATGCATCTGCTCTCCCACAATATGGCGCTGGGAGAGGAGGAAATAGCTTCTACACAGCTGCCTCCAGTTCAACCAATAAACAGCAGGACCTGCTCCTGATTGGAGGAGAGCAGCATACTCGGCATGTGGGTAGCAGAGTTGGGATTGGTGGAAGAGGACTATAAAGGAGGAGAGAGACAACATGCACCAAGGAACATCTAAGAGGAACACCTGTGCAGCCCCTGAGAGAGCTGGCCAGCGGTGTGCCGCTCCCCCGCGGAAGTGGGGAAAGTGGCAGGGGGAACCGCCCTTCCACGGAGGTGGAAGGGATGGTAGCCAACCCGGGAAGAACCAGCAGCAAACCCGGGGAGGGCCGAGCAGACGAAAGAACAGCGCAGGGTCCTGTGTTGTTCCTCCACGAAGAAGGGGAGCGACAGACACTTAACTATTCTAAATCATTTTCCTGAAGTAAAATAATGACATATACCTTAAGAATAATGTTAAAGGTAAAAATTATGTAAGTGCATTATAAGATATTTTATGCTTTCAGCTTATGTTTGATAATGCTTATTCATGCATGAGGAGGAGGAGAAAGAAGAGGAGGAGTAAAATGGTAAAATTGCTGAAACATCATAAACCAAGTCTGATAAAATTGAATCCTGTGGCATAATATAAAAGAGTCAAAAAATAATGAAAACTTTATCTGGAAATTCAACGATAATTTAACAGAAATATATATTATTTAACTCATTACATAAGAGGAAGAAAAAATGCATGAATCTCTCAGTAGATTCTGGGAAAGAAATAAGTAAATGTCAATAAAGAAAATCAGAATCCATAGAAAATATTGTTCATATTTTGCAGCATGCTAATAAATCAAGAAGGAAGAAGGAACCCTAGCATCACCATAATTTTTTTGTCCTAGAACCTCTAACTAATGCCTCAAAGGGGAAAAATGTATAATTAGAAGCTAAAATGACCCAAATTATCATGGTTTGCAAGTATGATTGCTTACTAGGAATTAACCGAGATGTCTATCAACTGATGACTGGATAGAAACTGTTGTATATATATACTATGAAATACTACTCAGCCATAAAAAGGATGATATCCTGTCTTTTGTAACAACGTGGATGAAACTGGAACCATTATATTTAGTGAAATAAGCCAGTCCCAAAAGGACAAATATCATATATTTTACCAGATCTGTGTACATTTGTGTACCAAAAATGTAACATGTAGGAGTGAAACTGACATTTTAAGATTTGATAATTGTTTACATCCCTTGTCTCTACTGTTGAGGAACAGCGTTTGTGTAATTCGTATTTTTGTTGAACTATTCACTTATTGAAAATATATCATTATAAAAATTAAGAGAGGAAATAAGAAAAGAAGGAGGAAGAAGAGTGGGAGCATGGGTGGGAGAGAGGGGAGGGTGGGAATTACCACTGTGTTCCTAAATCTGTATCCATGAAATACATGAAATGTGTTTACCTTTACATTTTTTTTAATTTAAAAAAGAAATTAAAATAGCAACTTAAAATGTATGAAGACAGTTAAGGGTCATTGTAGGTTACAAAAAGTAATCTTTACAGAAGAAAAAGCTTCTATATCAATACTCACAAACTGGCACTATTAAGAATAAAGTTATTTTGATATTATGCAACAAATAGCATGGCCTAATATAGATTTAACAAGACTTACCTGAAAGAAGTGACACATGTCTAATGAATGTAATTTTAGGACCTTGCATGTTTCTAGAAGGAAAGACACAATTGCAAAAATGTTATTTTCTCCTACATTAATCTATAAATTCATCATAATTTTCAACATTAAAATGGGGATATTGATTTGTACTGGAATCATTTATTTGTATGAAAATAGAAGAAATGTTCACAAAGGGTAATGAAAGAGCACATATTTCAGGCCACATTAAAAGCCTCAATGATTTAACCCAAGTAATCAGGGTATACACACTGAAAACGGGGCAAAGAACATGAGCTCAGATTTCTAAAGCAGACAAAATGGAACGTAGCCTACAATACAGGCAAATCTCATATGTATAAACAATGTATTATTTATTATAATTGGTGACAGGAAAACAGGCTAAATTTGGACAAAATGAAATTAGATTCTGATTAACCATTCAACACAATGGGGGGGGGTGGGGGTGGGGCCACAGAGAAGCTCCTGCCATTCACCTGGACACTGTATTTTTGTGTTCCTGAATGATATCTTCACTGTAGTGAAGGGATCCAAGGAGCTAGGGAATTACGGAGTGCTTCTGCGTGATGCTGCCCTGCTGATCGCCCTCATTTTCAGCATGTCTCCACTGCAGACCTAGATTCATCTAATGGAAGAATGTTCCATTTATCACACAGTTTCTTCCTTCGCTGTTTTGGGGGGTTTGTACTGATGTACCCCACAGTTGTGTGCAGCTATTACAGTTTGGCCCTGATGACGAGTGCCAGTCAGTGCTGTCAGTCATATACCTATTGCCTGCACTGGGATGTGAGCTGGTGGAGATGATACCTTCTCCGTGGTAAACTATCTCAGGGCAGGGCACCTGAGATACTCCTTTTTAACATTAAAAAGTCAGTCAGAACCTCAATAACTGTTGAATGAAGAAACTGTCCCTCCAGGTTTGAAGAACTAGGGGTAGAGTTGGCATTCCCAGGAGGATTGAGAAGCCCGAGCACAAGTGGGAGCTTCTGCGAAGCACAGAGGACTCCCCATCTGCCATCCTCATGGCCTGTGCTGAGAAGGAGGCTGGCACTGAGATCTGCCTGTTTGCGTAGCAGCACCACGGCCTTAATTTCAAAGGTGCTGTCCCCAGCAAATGCCAACGAGAACTTTTTTTTTTCAGCGTAAACAGACACACCTTTATTTCAATAAAATTACTAAATTAAATGCCCCCCAAAATTAGGTTCTGATCTTCCAGCTTCCACTTAAATGATTCCAGAGAAATTCAAGATTCAAATAAAGGAAATACAATTTTAAGATAACTTGAAAAACTGTAATCTAGGGATAAGAACATTCTGAGCTTGGCATCTAAAGGACAGGTAAGAGTCACATGAAAAACTCGTGAAATTAAAATACATATGAAAAATAATCTAATACGTAGCAATATACTAATATGTGCTATTATTTATAATATATACTTATTAATGCAATATTAATAGTATACACAGCAAACCAAACAGAATCTGAGTTAAAAAAGAAGAAAAAAATATAGGAAATCCCCAAGGAGAGCAATGTTAATGGCTTATAAACAAAACATACCAAATTTATCAACAGACTAAGAAATATAATTTAGAAAAAAATAGCAATATAAACATTTAAGTGTTGTTAAACATTGTACCTTTTGATCCAAAAAAAGCAAAGCTAAAAATAACAATAATCAATGTCATCAATGTCATTCAGAATCGGTTACTCCTAGTGGGAGGCAAAGTTAGCATAACCTTTTTAGGAGAGAGCTGATAATGAGTAGGTTTAAAACAGAAAGTTCTAAGACTGCCTATCTGTTATTTTTATTCTTTTTTGTTTGGCAGGCAGAGTTAGAGAGAGAGACAGAGAGAAAGGTCTTCCTTCTGTTGGTTCACCCCCCAAATGGCTGCCATGGCTGGCACACTGCACTGATCTGAAGCCAAGGAGCCAAGTGCTTCCTCCTGGTCTCCCAAGCGGGTGCAGGGCCCAAGCACTTGGGCCATCCTCCACTGCCTTCCCAGGCCACAGCAAAGAGCTGGACTAGAAGAGTAACAACTGGGACAGAACGGGCACCCCAACCGGGACTAGAACCCAGGGTGCCGGTGCTGCAGGCAGAGGATTAGCCTAGTGATCTGCGGTGCCAGCCTATTTTTAATCTTTAAAGATTATTTTATTTTAAAATTTCTTTGAAATGCAGAGAGAGAGAGAGAGAGAGAGAGCTTGTATCCACTGGTTCACTCCTCAAATGGCCACAGAAGCAAAGTGTGTGCCAGGCTATATCAGGAGACAGGAACTCTATGCAGATCTCTCACATGGCTGGTGGGGGGCCCAAACACCTAAGGCCATCTTCGTCTTCTTCTGCTGCCCCCCTTGGCACATTAGCAGGAAGCTGGATGAGGCAGAGTAGCCAGGACTCAATCCAGCATTCCAATGCGTGATGCCAGTAGTGGCTTACCTGACTGCATCATAACACAAGCCCCTTGACTATCCTTTAACTCTGCAAGTTCATTTCTAAAATTTATACTGATGGTATAATTGAACAAATTTATGAAGATATATGTTCAAGACTCACTGTAAAATTTAGCAAATAACAAAATAATAGATCTAACCTAATTAATAAAGACTTGACTACATCAAACACTACAATACCATGGAATGCTAGCTTGCATTAAAAATAATGATGCAGAGCTCATTTTGTTGAAAAATGCACTGGGTTTTTTAAAAATTTGGGTGCTGTTTCAGCAAGCATGTATATATTAATTTTAGAATCATAATAGTGGAATTTAGCTATGTATTTTATCCTAATTTTGGTAAAAACACATGAAAACAGAGTATAAATTTCTGAAATCATTCTGAGGGCAAAACAGTGTATATTTATTAAAAGCCTTAAAACTGCCCAAACTTAAAAGGATAATTATACTTGTAAGAAATTATTTTAAAGAAATTATTTCCTACTTGAAAATTGCTTAGATCATAGATTTTAAATTTTCTCACTACAAAAAAAAATGACAGGTAGGTGAGTTAAGGGATATGTTCATTAGCTTAATTTAGTCATTATCTAGTACCACCATCTTGTACTCAGGTGCACTGAGCCCTTGCACTATGAGGCCCCATAGTAGGTTTTCATAAAATGTATCTGACATGGATAGACACACAAGAGAGTTCTACCCATCGTTTGCCTTCCCAAATGCCCACAACAGCCAGGGGGGGTCAGCTCAAACCCAGCAGCCTGAAACCCAATGTCAGTCTCCCATGTGGGTGGCAGGGACTCAACTACTTGAATCAGCACCTGTGGCCTCCCAGGGTCTGCATCAGTAGGACACAAACCCAGGATCACCAATGTGGAATGCAGGTGTTCCAAGCAGGGTGTTACTTGCTAAGCCTATCGCCTGCTCTGTTAGAGACATTGTATGTGCAGCACAGCTGAGCTCTGCTCTGTGTGAGAACAGGGCTGTTTCTGTAAAGTCCCCTCCTTTACAGGGGACAGCTTGTCCTTCATGTCACCACCAGCCTCTAAGGGACAGGGCCCTAGGGATCAAATGTGTTCTAGGCTGCCCTACAGGGTATTGTTCATAAAGGATGGGTCATTTGGAGGCTGAGCAGCTAGGGACACAAGAGTCCCTAATACAAGGATCCATGGGTGCTCTGGGTCCCCTCATCTACTGCATGTCCTCTCCATAGAGAAATGCAAAGGGCTCATGGCCCCTGGATGACTTAACAGGGTTGTCTGGTGCTGGGGATACCCAAACACCTTGTTAGCTCATGTTGTATTGTACCCAGCTTGGGGACAAGAGCAATCACCTCACAAGAATGAATATATATATACATATATGTATATATATACATTTAATTTACCTTTTATAATATATATGTCTATGTATATGTGTGTGTGTATATGTATGTATACATATCTTTTACTCAAATAAGAAATACTATGATCTAATTGCCAAGTGTTTGCAGCCTTCCTTTTCTGGTTCCACAGAGAGAGTTGGAGGGTCTCTGTGGAAAGTGAAGCCACTGATGAAGGCAGAAGACAGGGTGGGGAGCAAGCATGGGATGCATGATTGGGACACTGACCTGTGTCATAACCAGTATTATTTCATCTTCACAAGAAACCTTCCATAGATAGTAGATGCTGTGTTTCCATTTGAGTCTTAGGTGTCAGGACCTCTGGCCAGTCAAACACTCTGTAAGGAATCTTGGATCCAGTATTTCAAACTCAGGCTGTTCAAACACTTCATCCATTCCCCACACTGAAAACACATAAATGTCAAAAATGGGTTACTGCTACTGTAATCCATGAAGAAAATTTTTTAAATTATTAAATCTCATGTAATTATTAAAAATAATAGATTAGAAGACAATTGTACAGGAAATGTCACAACTTATAAAGCAAAAAAAAAAAATGAGGTCAGTTCAGGGGAGGGCATTGTGGCACAGCAGGTTCAGCCACCACTTGAGATATCAGCAAGTGATTATTAGAGTGCTTATTAGAGTCCTGGCTACCCACTTCTGATCCATCCCCCTTCAAACACACCTTGGGAGCAGCAGATGATGGTTCAAATTCCTGCCACTAATACAGGAGACCAGGATAGGTTACTGGTTTCTGGCTTAAGCCTGCCCCATGCCCAGAAGTTGCAAGCACTTAAGGAGTGAACCAGTAAATGAAAGATTTATTTCTCTCTCATTTTCTGCCTTTCAAATAAATAAATAGTTGTTCAAAATAGTTCTGGTACACATGCAATGGAAAAATACTGGAAATGTATTATAAAAGTTAACAGTGGGCCCACACTGTGGCTTACTAGGCTAATCCTCCAACTGCGGTGCCAGTACTCTGGGTTCTAGTCCCTGTTGAGGTGCCAGTTCTGTCCCAGTTGTTCCTCTTCCAGTCCAGCTCTCTGCTGTAGCCCAGGAAGGCAGTAGAGGATGGCCCAAGTGCTTGGGCACTGCACCCGCTTGGGAGGCCAGGAGGAAGCACCTGGCTCCTGGCTTCGGATCAGCACAGTGTGCCAGCTGTGGTGGCCATTTGGGGGGTGAAGCAACAGAAGGAAGACCTTTCTCTCTCTCTCTCTCTCTCTCTCTCTCTCTCTCTCTAACTCTGCCTGTCAAAAAAAAAAGTTAACAAGTTAACAGTGGTAGAATTACAAGTAAATTATTTTCTCTGTATTTTTATTTTTTAAGGTAGATGGCGGCTAAGCCCTTAATTTTTTTAATGTTTCATTTTTATTTGAAAGGCAGAGAGACAGAGAGAACTCTCATCACTGGTTCAGTCCTCATAAGCATGCAATAGCAGTGGTCGGGTCAAGCTGAATCTAGGAGCCTAGAACTCAATTCAGGACTCCCACATGGGTAGCAGGGACCCAAGCACTTCAGCCACCACTGATTCCTCCCATTAATGCCTACTGTGCACTAGTGGGAAGACAGAATCAGAAGTGGAATGGGCACTCTACATCAGGCCTTCCTATATGGGATGACGGCTCCCAAACAGCGAGTGTCTCAACTGCTACATCAAATGCCCATCCTCTTTGTGTTTTTAAATTTCTGCAATACCTATTAATATTTGTGCAACTGGGAAACAATAATAAAAGAAACTCCCACATGTGCTTCTGTGTGAGCTACCAAGAAAACATAAGCACAAGGCCAGGGAGAGAATTAGAACTCTTCCTTTGGGGTGCGTCTTTTAAGGTATTAGATCTGGAGATAACTGAGCTGCTAGAGGAACAGTGGAATTACTGGAAGTGACATCTGCAAGGGACCTCACCGATCACTGCACTCAGCCTTGGCATTTTGCAGATGGGGACAGGGAGAGCAGAGGAATCCGAGAAGACAGTGAGAATCCTTGACCCAGGCACTCATCGCCTTCTTAACAGGACGGAGCATGGACATTCATTCCTCCAAAAGTTTCCTGTCACTCAGCCCCTGAATAAAAGTCAATGTCTTATAAACAGCAGCACTTTAGCCTCTGCCCTGACCGCAGAATTGAATGATCTTAGAAAACAAGTTGGGTTTTGCAGCATTTGCTTTTCCTTTGCAAACCACTGGGATTAAAAACCAAAGTCCCAGCCCTCATCCCCTCCATCGAGGCTGTCTTGTTCTTGTTTCCCTCAGCTGAGAAGGACAAAGCTTCTCAGAAGGCATTTTCTCTGTCATGTGTGTTCTGATTATGAAAACATGACATCATAAGTGTATGAAATGTGGAAAATAACAGAAAATCCCAACCATGTGTTATGCTGCTGCTCCACGACAATGATGGTTAACATTTTACAGGCAGATCCAGACTTCTCCCTTTTATGCCAGACACACCCAGGTAAGATTCTGCAGGCACAGAATTTTGATTATTTTAAGATTTATTTATTTGAAAGGCAGAATTAGAGGTGGAGGGGGGGACAAAAGGAGATTTTCCATCTGTTGGTTCACTCCCCAAATGGCTGCAACAGCAGAGGCTGGGCCAGGCTGACACCAGGAGCCTGGGACTCCATCTGGGTCTCCCATGTGGGTGGCAGGAGCCCCAGTGCTTTGGCCACCCAAAACTGCTTTTCCAGGCAGATTAACAGGGAGCTGGATCAGAAGAACAGCCAAATTTGAACCAGTGTTCATATAGGATGCCACAGGTAGCAGTTTAACCCAGGTGCAGCTCAGGTTTCTAATGTTATTCAAAAACATCCACCACCAACCTTCTTGGGAGTGGGAACACCCAGTGCCCTGAAGGGGCTCAGCTCTTGGCCAATGAATTGTTAGCAGATGCCCTGCAAACAACAGCTTGAGATGTGCTGGCCTGGGTGGGGTTCCCCTCTCCCATGTGTGCTATTTCCCTAAGAAAACTTTCCCTCTAGTGGCTGCCCTCCTGGGCCATAGTGGAATACACCTGAGGTGCCCCAGGTCACATGCACACCTGAGGTAAGAGGCAGATTCATTTACTCCAGCAGACTGGTATCTGGGAGAGAATAAATGGTGCTGCTCTAAGCCAATCTGGGTTGATAAACAGGACTCTCACCTGTGTACCCCGACCATGTCAAGTGGTTTTCCTCTCTTAAAATCCCCTTGACTTGCTTTGGGTGGTCAGTGCAAGGCTCAGCAGATGTTGCTCCACCTGCTACCAGGAAGGAGCAGGGATAAAGACCTGCATCCAGCAGTTCCATTGTCAGCATTCCCTAGGGCCCGGTGGCAGTCCAGGGAAAGTTGAATTCTTTGTGGTATTTCTTCTTTACAGCTGACTTTCTTCAGGTCATTTATCCCTTTTACTGAGATGGTTTATAATGCATCTTCATCTTTTTACTCTATTTTGATTTATTGCTGTCCCACTGTGTCCACTGGAAGAAGTGAACCTGAACTTCCACGAGCAAGATGGATGTGCAGGGAAAAGAGTGGCAGAGTCAGTGAGGCCTGAAGGAGAAGGAGTCCTGCAAATGTGTGGTGTGGAAAGGAAAGCGGCCGGCCCCTGGTGCATGTGGAAGGAAAGAGAAAGTCAAGAGGGACACAGACTGGGCCGCAGGCACCCTGTCCCAGGTGACCTGCACACCCCCTATACAGACATCCTTCACTTCTTTCCTGTCTTCCCAGACCCGTTATCCCTTCTTGGGACACCTGTATTCCCATCTCTTCTGAGGAAAGTATTCCCACTCCCCAATTTGTATAACCTCAGCAATATCAAACCAAGGAATTTCAGCCTCTCTGGACAAGTGTGCACATGACACACACACTTCAACAACTGAAATTTCCCACTTAAGACTGAATCTTACAGTGCCCCCCCCCCCGAAGGAAAACTAGAGCAGAGCTGAGAAACTGTCCCTAAGTTCCCAGGCTGCAGAGGCTCTCATCCTTCCAAAAGACTACTGGGAAGTTGGAACTGCAATTCAGGAATACTCTCCTTTTTATATAAAGGATTTACTTGTTATTTAAAAGCAGAGTTGGAGAGAGAGAGAGAGAGAGAGAGAGAGAATCTTCCATCCACTACTTCATCCCTCAAATAGCTCCAACAGCTGAAACTGGGCCAAGCTGAAGCCAGGAGCCAGAAGCTTCTTTAGGATCTCCCACATGGGTGCAGGAGCCCAAGCACTTGGGCCATCTTCTACTGCTTTCATAGGTGCATTAACAGGGAGTTGGGTTCAGAAGTGGACCAGCTGGGACTGGAACTGGCACCCTTTGGGATGCTGGCACTGTAGGCAATGGTTTTACCCGTTACACCACAGTGCTGAACTCTATTCAGGAATATTCTAATGAATTCTCTGGGTTGCACAGCAGCTGCTGCTTTTCATCAATGTAACATAGATTTGCAAAAGAACAGGTTGATTTCTTATACAGAGATGCCCTTATGGCACTTTGCTTTTGTGTGTTAAATTTCTACCATGAAAAAAAAAAAGACTATCTTGTATTTTAGGATTCTATAATACACCTTAAACATTTTGAATAATTCATAGAAACCAAAAAAAATGACAATTAAATATGAAATCCACCAGAAAGCACCAGCACCCTGACACTGCTTTGACCACCACTTCAGGGCTCTCTTAAATCTGTGTGAGATTTAACATGAACGGGACTCTATCATATGTGCTGTTTCCATGGTGAGAACCAGCTCATGGCAAGACAGGCTATGTTGTTTCTGCTTATCTCTTTTTCTTCTCATCAACCACTGCCAAGATAGACTGACTGCTATCATTTCCTAGCTTCCCCTCTGTTTATATAATCATACATACAGATATCATATACACAACTGCACACATGTACTTTCCCAGTGTTCCAGAAAAAAATGAGATCATATTGATGCATTTTGCTTTTTCTCATGTTGCTTTTCTCATGTTGCACTTCACAGATGAAATCTAACCAAATTCACTGCTTTCCGCAGGCAGTTGGCATTCCATTTATAGACCAATTGACATTTATTCAACCATTCCCACACTGATACAGGCATTCTTTTCAGTTGTCTGACCACTAACACCACTATGAATATTAGAAGAAAATGATGAAAATGATAATACGATTGCCTGCCTAGAAATTCCAAAAATTATATGGAAAGCCAATAAAATTGGCAAGGGTATTTGTTAATGATGGCCATGTATAAGATATGTATACAATCAGTCCTTAAGGCATGCGGATCCGGCTGAAATGCCCATGAGAGTATTTCAGGCATGGAAAGCCAAGACACTCTGGGGGAAAAAAAAACCTAAATGAAAGATCTCCATGAATGAGATCCCAGTGGAAAGAATGGGTCATCAAAGAAGGAGGTACCTTTCTCTGAAGGGAGGAGAGAACTTCC